CCACCACAACCATGGGGTTGCTCCACAGTCCACTCTGCTATCAGAGAAGTACCAGGAGCAACCCGCATGGTACACCGCCCCCCGAAGAGGGCCACCTCCCACCGCCCACCGAAGTGGGCAACCTCCCTGTGCGTTTCTTAGCTTCGCGCCCGGTTGGATTGCCGGGCACTACTGAGCCACCCCACCACGACAAGGTGAACGCACGTTGGGGGGGAGTGTGTTAATGTCCCAACATGTCCCAACTACTTTTTCATTCTTCTCGATGATATTCAATAAAATTATTCTTTTATAAAGTTCATGTAAAATGAAGGACTACAATATAACCTATATAAGCCTCTGTATACTTAAAATAAATCAATAAAATTGTAGAAAAGTTAAACAACATTCACTTATATGTATGAAGTTTTCATTGACAACAAATATCTTGGACACGGATAGACACTGAAAGATAGTTTTTATTATTGTAATCTTCTGTCTGTTAAAGTATCTGAATTACCACCACCATTTGCGTATATAGATATGAGTTTTTAACCGACTTCAAAAATGAGGAGGTTATCAATTCGGCTGTATTTGTTTTTCATTTGTTTTAAGTATTCGGCTGACAATTACATCTAAAGTAATGTTCTTAAGAAACCCTTATAAAACTACTTTATTCTATACATATAATTGTACATTGTACCTATCAATAGCCCGGTACACAAACATTTCACTAATACGAAGCGTATGGAGAGTTTTCAAAATTATATTTGGCTCCATACCTACTTTATGTAATGCAATCACAGCGATTCCATTCTCTTTATCACACCATGGAGTGGTGTTTAATATCACAAAATATTTTACAATGTATTGGCGCGAAAATAAGAAAACACAATGAACAATCATATAAAAATGACAGATTCCAAATTCAAATTAATAATTTGTTTATTTTTAATTGTAACAGTATTTATGGCAAGACTATGTATATGTATACTTTTTAATCCGGAAATGGAATGGGTCTTTTCATTTAATTATTATTTATATTCTTATAAAAAATACTCCAAGATCACAATATATAAATCGAGATTTTACGGTAACATACATGTAATTATACATACATTTAATAACATACATATAAAATACAAACACACTTTCAAACTAATATTTATTATATTAGTTGTTTATTAAAAAACAACCTCAATTTTTTTATCTCTCTCACATGCGACAAATGTAATAGTTTCTTTGTAATCAATTCTGCGAGGTGAATGGAGATGTAGGCATAGCGGCTGCTTATACTGACCTTTTCAACCGACTTCTTCAAAAAGGAGGAGGTTCTCAATTCGGCTGTATGTTTTTTTTATGTTTGTTACCTCAGAACTCCGTCATTTATTAACCGATTTGGACAATTTTTGTTTTATTTGAAAGTGTATACTGTCAGATTAGTCCCATTTAAATTTCAAAAAAAAATACCACCCTTAAAGGTGGAAAAATATCTAATGTTATCTATCTATCTATCTGATGAATTTAACCTACTTCTAATTGTCATATTGACTTAAAACTTTGCAAGTGTTTCTATTTCCGTTGATAGTGCAGTGGTTCGGTATTATTAGCTGAAAACGACATGATGGAGTTAGCTGCATTCTTTTTACAAACAGAGAGTTTTGACATACGGGATGAAATCTTTAGCTATTGTTGTTCTGAAGGCTTTGTATGTGAACGTCATTTTGACATTGTGAAGTGCGCTAGAATTAAAACGTTTAAGAGCAACACACGGGATTTTTAGGATTTCTTTATTAAAAGTTCACTAATCATAAGGATTATTTCGCCTAGCAGTATATTTTGCTCCAATAACAATAAATACAATAACATATATTTGTCAGACAATAGCAACGGTTACCATAGCAACAATTATTCATAATAGTTTTTATTTAATTTATGCACATTTATCCCACAGTAATGAATATTCATTTTTTTTACTATCTACTTTTTTTTTAATATCTATACATATAATAAAACTGTAGAGGTCGAATGTCTGTACATAGAAAAAAATACTAAAAACCGAGTCAGGGTCAGGTAAGAAGAGAAATAGAACAAATCCAGATTTTTTTCAAATTTTTTGTTTCTCTGTCTGTTCGTTTGCTTATACGGGTTAATCTCTGAAACTGTCGAACCGCTTTAAATGAAATTTTTCATGGTGGTACCTCATATCCCCGGTTAACATTTTAGATACTTTTCATCCCGGAAATTTATAATTATTTAAAACATAAAGCCAAAGAATATTTTTTGTAGTTTTAACGTGAGGGAAGCCTCGGGTTCCGCTAGTCTTTTATAAAGATTGACGCTATTATTTTCTTTTTTCATAGCTTCACCGTCTATTGAGGCACATGACTAGAAGAGAACGTTTACATAAAATTATTATTATTACTCCATAAAAAAAAACGAAACTAGTATGGAGTTTTTTGCTTATACAATCATAACACATCACATTACATATATCGACACACAATCTACGAGTATATGATGTTTTTTCAAGTTCACACGAGCCTTGAGTTTAAAGCGTGAATTTAAAAATAATACATATGTTGTATTCAAATTAAAAATTAATTCCTATTTTTATAAAAAGCTACAGCACTGAGAGAATTAAACATTAAGTGACAAAAGCACTAAAAAGTAAAAAATAACTGATTGGTAGTGTTCATTTACTATACATACCTAATCAAATAATTTAATAATTTCCAAGTCGGTACCAGCCGATACAAAGCAAAGCACACCTATATATATATATATATAAATATGTTGGGACATTAATATACAGCACCATCTAGTTCCATGGTAAGCTTCGAGGCTTGTGTTATAGATACCAGACAGTTGATAAACTACATAATACATACATCTTTAAATACATACATATTATAAAATATATAAACACCCATGACTGGAGTACAAACATTCGTGCTCATCACACAAATGAATGCCCCCAGCGGGACTCGAACCCGCGACCGCTGGCACAACAAGTAGGGTACACTACAAACTGAGCCAAACGTATCGTCAAAGTAATTAATATAAAAAATATAGTTATACTAGCGGCTCACCCTCGCTTCGCTCGGGTTCGTCGCTAGGTACGTTTTAAATAGATATAAAAAGAAAAAATCTTTCTTTCTCACATTTTAATTATATGTTTTAATACTTACCTATTCCGGACTAAGAGAAATCCAAAAATTAAAATATCATAAAAATTGGAACGCGGTCGAACGGGATAAAAAGTATCCTATGTCCTTCTCCTGGCTCTAAACTACCTCCCTGCCAATTTTCAGCTAAATCGGTTCAGCCGTTCTTGAGTTATAAGCGAAGTAACTAACACGACTTTCTTTTATATATATAGATTATTGACTTGTTATCTCTAATTGTCTACTTATTTCATAACATCGTCCACGCCGCTATGACTCAGCTGTCATAGCAGACATTGCAGTACGCGCGCAAACCAATCGCTGGTTTCGATCTGAATTTAAACCAATCATTCCGGAGTTCAGCCCGGAGTTGGGAATCACCAAGCATGTCTGTTTGTAACTTCAGAATTGATTCATATTTTGATCAAAAAGAAAATCATACGTCGTTTTGGTTTAAAGTAGGGCCACTTTTTGTGTGGATTTTTTTCTGAATTAGACTTCCTGACTTATTATTCATTCGTTACATATTATACCCATTAATTACTATAACTAAAAATTTTATAGTCTTCTTACTTTATTTGATTCACCGATGCCATGTAATATTAAATACTATTAAATAAATCAATGGTATCTCATATTTTAAATCCATCTCGTTATTAAGTAATTATGATATTAAACTGCCTGGTGGTGAAGTGGCTAGCATGTACGCCTGCACACCCGGAGGTCCTGGGTTCGAGTCCCGGGTTGGGCCAAGTTTAGTTATTGAGTCTTCCTGTATAGTAAGTCTCAGTAACAGCCCGGAGTTGGGAAGTTGGCGGTGTTTCACCCCCGTGCCTCGGAGAGCACGTAAAGCCGTCGGTCCTGCGCCTTAACTCTCACCGGTCGTGTCGAGTGGTCGTCCCACCGGAGTATGAGTGTGATAGGAATAGAGAGTGCACTTGTGTCTGCGCGTACACTTGAGCACTATAATATCTCCTGCGCAGTTGGTTAATCTCATTGAGATTGGTCGCCGTGGCCGGAATCGGCTAGGAGAACATCAATCAATCAATGATACACGAGCGACTCACCTTCGCTTCGCTTGCGTTCGTCCCTAGGTTGATTCCCCATACAAACTTTCATCCTCATTTTCACCCCATTAAGGGATTATTTCTGGGATAAAAAGTATTCTACGTCCTTCCTAGGGTCTCAAACTATCTTCTTACCAAATTTCATCTAAATCAGTTCAGTAGATCCAGAGATTACCCTCTACAACGTCACAAACTCACAATTCACAAACTCACTATTCTTACCTCTTTATAATATTAATAAGTATAGATCACTGGAATCAAATCTTGTTTTACGCAAAAAATATACGATGCATACATTAGTATATATAAAACAGAGTTAAAGCTTTTAACATCAGTGCTCACGCGTCCTTAAAATAATATACACGAAAGCATTTATTAAAAATGTTTCGAGCTCATTATTTAGTAGCGTGCTTTTTAGGATTATTTGTTTTAGAATCAAGGGCTAATGTTGGTACGTACTGTAAACGAAATTATTTATTATATTTGACTAAATTATTCGTATATTTTGTGGTCCCCTTTTCATCTTAGTCAGCTGTAAAAGAATTAAATTATTTATTTAATAGTGATTATATTTATTTCTGAATTTATAACTAATAACAAATTTTTATTAGCATATTAATTTGATTACATTGATTAATACATATCTATATAAGACTAAAAAAAACGTAAAAAAAGTGTAATTTAATAAAAAAATAGTAGGTATAAGATTTTTTAAAGAACCATAAATTTTTTTAAAATTAAAGTATGTATATATTAAAAATATATTTAGCATATTTTATAGACTACTAATATGTACTCATTTTTCAAATTTCAAAAAGTTTCCTTCATCAAACCATGTAAGGCGGATGACAATGCGTGCTTGCTCTCCAGCAGCCAGGGCGCTGTACCGTACATGGCAGCCGGTATACCTGAGTTAGGTATCCCACCGAGTGACCCCTTGTACATAAACGAAGTTCGGTCTGATGACCGTAACTTAAAACTGGGATTCCGAAATGTCAAAGTAGTCGGAATTAGCAAGGCTAAAATAATAAGCATCAGGTATGTTTAATACATAAATACTTAATATAACATTTTAAATAAAACTGTCTTTTCGGATTTTTCGCGGATTTATTTTAATTTTTGGTTCCCGATGTTTAGAATGCTTTATAGTTATCATGGTCCCGGAAGAGACTAATGATGTGGACATGTCAAAGGTTACAGTGGATTGATACTGTGTCGTGAGTTCACACCCATAGCTGACATTTTTTTTATAATGATAAGAAATTAGAATTAATGAATAACTCGTACATAATTGCTTAGACATTAAGGATATTAATTTAATTATGAACCATAAATATTGATAATATCGTTGCTGAGTAAATTTGTTTTGGATTTTTTTTTGTTGTAATTTAATGTTGCTAAATTATATACTTTAAATATTTAATACATTTTGTAGTCGCGATGTTAAGGAGCATACTATTAAGTTAGTTATAGAGACTCCTCTATCCGGTACCGGTCAATATGATCTTGATGGCCACATTCTCATACTCCACGCGACGGGAAATGGCGACTTTGACATTAGCACTGGTGAGTTATCCTTTGTTATTATTGCAAATACCATATTTAGTAATATTTTACACATATTGATAAAATTTTTACAATAAGAGAAGATTTTAGGTTCTCTACACAAATAAAAAATATTAAATAATCGATTTTATTTTTGAAATAGCTTCGCTTGGGTTCGTTACTAGGTAATTCTTTAAATTGGCATAACTTTATTATTTTTGAACCGATTGATATAAAACAAATACTTAATGTTAAGTGACGCTTACCATAAGACATTACTTAAAACCGAACCCAAATGGATTAAGCCGTTTCTGAGATATGCTTGCAAAAACGCACAGACAGACTAAATTCTAAAAATTATTGTTTTGTGTTCTATTGAATTTTAAAGATCCCTCTCAATATTAGTTTTTCTCAAATATCTTCCATGTACGAACAGCAATCAGTTACATTTTTATTGTATGTAGGTATATTTGATTTGGGCCATGCAAAAATCCAATTATATAGATTGTATCCACAAAATATTTTTTTCGTTTAATATATAATTATCATTTCCTATTCGTAATAAATCCACAGTCATAAAATAATATTAGCATAACAAGTTCAGTGTACCTGATTAACAACAAAATTATTATTTTTACTGTGTGTGACACAAACAACTATATATAATTAATAATCTTGTCTTTACATATAATAAAATTGTAACTAAGCTGAATCCGTACATAAAATATTTTAAGAAAATCTTATTGAAATAATCATTACTATCGATACAGGATTAGAATAGAAATTTTGTCTCTCTGTCTGTCTGTCTGTCTGTCTGTCTGTCTGGGAGCACATCACGAGAAAACCACTTGACAGATTTTGATGAAATTTGGTATGGTGATAGCTGGTTATCCAGGTGAACATAATATAATTATAAATAGCTTCTTATCTATACTAATATTATAAAGAGGTAAAGTTTGTGAGTTTGTGAATTGTTAGTTAGTGACGTTTCATCTAAATCGGTTCAGTATCTAGAGATTACCGTAATGGGTAATCTCTAGATACTGAACCGATTTAGATGAAATTTGGTAAGAAGATAGTTGGAGACCCTGGGAAGGGCATAGGATACTTTTATTCCGAAATCATCCCTTACAGAGGTGAATATGGGGATGAAAGTTTGTATGAGGAATTAACCTAGGGACGAACCCGAGCGAAGCGAGGGTGTCACTAGTCTTTAATATAATTAAAAAAAATTATTATAAATAGCTTCTCCTGAGAAAAACTATATCAATAACGAAATACATAAAAACTCGACAAATATTTAGTTAGAAGGAAGTTTTAGAAAATCATCACTAGATGTCGCCATGGGTTTTTGAAACACGTTTTAATTCCAAAACAATTTAATATACTATGATGATATGACTTTTCTATGGTTTTATTAGAATAACTAGCGACTGACCCTCGCTCCGGTCGGGTTCGTCCTTACTTACGTTTTAACGTTTAGTATAGATTTCTCAGAGATGAGATACTTTCCCGCAATAAAAACTATCCTAAATTTTGACCCGATAACCAGCTATCATCGTACCAAATTTCATCACAATCCCTCCAGTGGTTTTTCCGTGATGCGTTCACAGACAGATACACAGACAGACGGACAAAAATTCTAAAAACTATAGATTCAGCCTCTGTATCGATAATAATGTTTATTTCAATAAGATTTCCAGAAAATATTTAATGGCAGATTCGGCTTAGTTACAATTTATTATATGTATAAATAAATTAGCACTACCCGCGGTCTCACCCGTGTCCAAATAACTGAATAAAAAAATATATTATAAAAATAAAAAAACCCGACTGCATAATAGGTAACTAAAAACATAAAAACAAGTTGACGAAGGAATAAAGTATTATGTAGTCGGAGACATATGTACCTACATATGTGCATATATTTTGCGGCAAGGATGAAAAGCGTATGTCTCCGACTGCATAATACTTTATTCCTTCGTGAACTTGTTTTTGTCTTGTTAGCTTTTATGCAGTCGGTATTTTTTATTTTTATAATATGTTTTTTTATTTGTCGCTTTTTAGTTTTAGCTAATTCAAGAAAAATTTAAAGTTATATTTAGCAATTTTTTTTCCTAAATTACTTTTAAACATATAAGTTGTGTATATTTTTGTGATCACCTCTTAAAAATCTTTATTATGATACCACACTTGATTGGTTTGGATGAATTTTTTTAAAGACACAAATTGGCGCCTGAAATCCGCCATTTTAATTTAACTATTTTTATATAGCCTACTACATTACTCTCCTTTAAGTCGCGCAGTCAGGTAAAAAACATACTATTTGGCTTACAAATGAGCAACATATTAATAATATTCTATAAGGCGAATTTGTACATTAAATACTTTTTGGAAATTATTATTGAAATAGCCAATATTATCGATACCAAGGTCAGGTAATTTTTATTCCAAAATGTACAGATAAAACATTTCTTTGACTTAATTAGAATTATTAGCATTATTCGCGGCTCCACAGGGTTTTTCAAATTAAAATATTTGTAAAGTTTTGTTATTAATTAGTAAATAATGCTATTTGTAAATATAAGACAAGTGCCATTCCAACTCGCACATCCACCTTTTCCAGTTCCGTGTAGCCAAATATATACCGGTATTTTTTGTTTACTTACGTATTGTTAGTAGTAAGTTAACACTAAAATAAAATACGAATATTTACGTTTTCACAACATCGACATTTTATCCATCAAAAAAATCTGTGTGTCACTTCTGTATTTTTACTTATCAACAGACTTCAAAAACAGGAGGTTCTCAATTCACTTCAATTTTTTTTTAATGTTTATTACCTTAGAACTCCGTCATTTATTAACCGATTTGGACAATCTTTGTTTTGTTTGAAAGTTTATACTTATAGATTGGTCCTATTTATTTATATTAAAAAAAAACAACCCCTAAGGGTGGAAAATACCTAATGACAATTTATCCTACTTTCATTATTAATTGTCATATTGACTTGAAAATTTACAAGTGTTTGTATTTCCGTTGATAGCGCAGTGGTTCGGTATCGTTGACCTGATCTGATGGTAAGACCAGAAGGTGGATAGTGGAACTCTTCAACAGCTAATAGTAGATACTTTGAGTTTGGGGTTATTTTGTTTGATTTATCGAGCCCAATACGTTAGAATTGGATTTTAGGGCCTGATATTTTCAAATGTTGTAAAGTGACATAGCATTCCTTCTCTCTTTAACCCTCATAATAATTATACTTATTAACGTACATAAAGACACAATACTAACTATACTACTATTATGAATGCGAAAGTTTGTGAGGATATATGGATGTCTGGATGTATAGACAGATATATAGTATGGTTGATTATTATTACTCTTTCAGTTAAAAATTACTGAATGAATTTTAATTAAACTTTACAATAATATAGCTCATACATCAGAATAACACATATGCTATGTTTTATCCCATAAAAATGTACGGTTCCTTTGGGATAGATTAGTTTTTGTTTTTCTAGAGTTCCGCTAGCTCAGAATAAAACGCTTTGCAAGTCCTTAATTGGGCATTTTTTTACAGAAAAAGCCATTATAAACATTGTATGCAGACTTAAAACTATTGAAAAAGGTGGTAAGAAATATTGGAAGATCACTGGTTATGATTACAACTACGATTTAGTGAAAAAAGTTTACATTAAACTTCACAATCTCTTTGGAGGCGACGAGAAAAAAGGTAAGAATTGTTTTGATAGTTATAGATATATTTACTTTATGTATAAAATTATTATGCTACCTATTATAATTATATGTATACATATATAATAATGTTGAATATAAAAAAGGAATAAAAATTTCCACTAGGTCGCAGGAATTTTGTTTCATAATGGCAATTAAATATTGGTAACAGAATTTGAACAAGTTTCCTTATAAAGGGGTCGCACAAAAGGTTGTGGAATAATAACTATTGTACCTATATATTGCCTGAAATATGCCTCTTGAAGAGGTAATATCCTAGAGGCAATTCGATTTGATAATTGATAAATAAAAGGATGACAGCTAGATATACAATCACTTCTTCCTCTCTATTATTTAATGCATTTCTCTTGATAATGGCTTTGAAGCTTGCCTGTTGAGCGCAGATTATCTATACTAATATTATAAAGAGGTAAAGTTTGTGAATTGTGAGTTTGTGACTTTGTAGGGGGTAATCTCTGGATCTACTGAACCGATTTAGATGAAATTTGGTAAGAAGATAGTTTGAGACCCTGGAAAAGACATAGGATACTTTTTATCACGGAAATCACCCCCTGGTGAATGGGGATGAAAGTTTGTATGGTCATAGAACAAATTTGACCAACAAAAGCTTACAGTACAAAGTACATTTAATTTATCACACGAACGACGAAACTATAACAGTTCACAAATTTATAATTTTGTTTACCACATCAATATATTTTTTTATAAATTTTTAAAACCTTCACTTTAAACATGTTTCTTTTTTATTTTAATTTCCTGAGTTATTCTGTTGTTTATAATTAAAACTTTTCGCTTAATCATTAACAATTTTGCTTACAGCTAAACCTTTCCACGAACTTCTTGACCGTAGCTGGAAGGAAATTGTATATGAAATTGGTGGCCCTATGCTCAAGGACATGGCAGCACAATTCCTCGAACATGTTAAGAAATTTTTACTAGTTGTCCCGGTCAACGAAATTGAAATTGTTTAAATATTCAGTATAAAAATATATAAGATATAATAAAACATAAAGGGAACAGTGCATATACAGTATATAACATAGTACTGATCAGTATTTTGGAAATAAACACAAGCTTTTTTTAGTCATTTATATTTTCTCAATATTTACCTACGATTTCCTATAGTTTTTGTGGACAAAATATTTTTATGTAAATAGCTTTGGGCTACTTTTATAAATGCGAAAGTTTGTAAGTATATGTGTGTGTATATTTATTACTGTTACGCTAAAACAACTAGATAGATTTGGATTACTTATGCAACTTTTTGGCATGATTTTTTTTTACTTTCCACAGTAATGAAACTTGTAGCATTACTAGAACACTATGTAAGAAGTCTAAGAAGAAACCAACTCGCTAAACCGTAAGCAACCAGTTGCTATTCCTTTTTATCATGCGTTCTTTTTTAATAAATACTAATTTATTCTACTGAACCAGCTTACGAAGAGAGACTTCCTCTCCACTTTTATGTTCTATGACTTTGTACTTGGATTTTATTCAGAATCAAAATATACCATTCAAGGGTTTATTTTCTTTCTTTTTTGATCTAGGAAGATGCCGAGTACAAGTAAGAAAGCACTATTTATTTAAAAAAAATGGCGCCTAATAAAAAGGAATAGCAACCATTATATCCCTGATTTTTACGGTTTAGCGAGTTCGTTTCTTCTTTAATTATAGATTTCTTACATAGTCTTTTAATAATGATCTAAGTTTCATTACTGGCAAAAGAAAAAAAATGGTGCCACCGGTCCATACAAAAGGTTGCATTGTCCTTTAATACACAGATAGAGTATGAACTTGTTAACGTTGCATTGTTGCGTTGTAAATGCATTTACGCATACATACATACAGGTGGTTATGTAGAAGTCACAGGCTAAAAAAACCAGTACTACTCACTTAAATCTACGGAACCTTTGCCGTCTCGTCCCGACGGCAGGTCTGCCGAAGCAAACCACAACAACAAAGGGTTGCTCCCACGATCCACTCTGCTATCATAGAAGTACCAGAAGCAACCCGCATGATATACAACTCATTGAAGTGGGCCGCCTTTCAGTATATCTGCTGGCTTTACGTCCGGCTAGATTGCCGGACTCTAATGAGCCAACTACGACAAGGTGTACCACATATCGACGGGGGGATAGAGTATGACCTGTAGTAACACGTAGGCTTCTATTGTGGAGGCTCCTAGAGACGCACTCGAAGTAATGGAATAGCCAGTATCACATAAATATCGCCCTTGTGCAAAAGTATTCCTTAACGGAATAAACACTATAAAAGAAATAAAACCACCTTGTTATGCAGCTGTTATACTTTAAACGATTATACAAACATGTCGAACAAACTGTTCATTTAATACGACCTCGAACAACTTCATATATTTATAGTGAAGTAATTGAAACAATTTGTGTTTAATAAACAAGTTATAGCTCAATTAAAACGATTATAAAAATTATTTAACGATTTGTTTTTACGACTCACACGCCACCTACCAGGAGTCCGACCACCTCAAATGTATCCTAACTGCTTGCTACTTTATTTTTGTAGGATAAACACTACCTATATTTTTATAACTATTGTAAAGCAATACTAACCCATAAGTTTTAATTATGGAATGGGTAAAATCTATATATACCTACATATATTTAAATTTTAATGTTCGTTTGTTCAAAATCGCAAATCTCGCAAAGAAGTGGATAGATTGAATTGAAATTTTGACAGGTTGTTGCAATTTTACCAAAATAGTTTTTATACATATATCTACTTTGTATCCGGAAGTTTCCACGGTAATGAGAAATATTTTAAATTTTAAATTGACTCATAATTTATTATATTTAGGCCATATCATGGTAACCGTTATTATTGTCTGACAAATGATATAGATGACATTCTATCCGTTGCTATCTTCAAAGATTACTATTTTTACTAATTTCTTTTCAAATGGGCAAAATATTTATATTTATTAATTACAGATTAGGTACTGATAAAAATTGTCGCTGTGTCAAGTTAATTTATATGTAATATAAATTATTTATAATTATATAACATAATATATTAAAATTGATTCCTTTTAAGGGGGTGAACAATTGTCAATATTTTAATTAAATCCAAAATGGTGAAACAATATCTATTTTCAAAAAATAAAAGGCGATAAAAAATTATGCCCATTTGTTCAAAATGGCAAATCTGTTATTTATTTCCCTAATAATTAATATTAGACAAAGCATTTTTTTTTTTGGAGACATGATAATCCTACATAAGTAAAACGTACATTCAAATTGAGAACCTCCATTACGAATTAGTTGTGAACAATAAAACAAAGCTACATAAATAATGTAACATTAAATATTTTTCATATTTAATATTGAATTATCTTCTTCCCATAAAAAAATCAATAGAACAAAGGCATACAGCTAAGACCGTAAATCTATTTTCAAGTACACTACCAAAGCACTAAATCCGGAGAAGCCATCAATCCTGCATGTCAGTAGCGCTGTAATTAGCGGAAGTGCCAATAGATGTGACGTGCAGTCGACGAAACAAGTGACGTTTCGATATAATTGAGAGGATGATTTCGATGGACTAAACTCTCATATTCGTCCCAATTTCATATTTGAAGTCATGTATACGTTTTAGGTGTGGATACGCAAGTTTTAAGGATTTCACGATACTGTTACGTAAAATGTAATGCAAAGTGTCAAATAATAAATAGAAATACATAATTTATACTGTATCATTTTTATATCTTTAGACTAAGATCTTTCCGTTATTGTCTTCGAGTAGGTAAATGAATTTGCCACTTTATATGGTTTATCAAGCGATGTCACCATTACAAACGCGTTTCCCTAACTGAAGCTTAACAAAAAATTGGCAATCCAGACATTTACTCTATTTAAATATAAAATGCTAGGTTTAAAAATTACTAAATCATTAAAAAGAGAAAACAAAAGCCTCCAGCGTTTAACAGTACATTGAATTTTCTACGGTCATGGTCTAAAACTGCAAACTATTATTACTTAAGCTTATGCAGATTCACATTTCACGAAACGTCTGTAATAAATCTAGTTACATACTAAAATGTCGTAAAGCTATGTTACTAAACAAGGGCATCATTAAATAATTTTACCTTACATCTCCGTTATTAAACTCAAATCGAGAGCGGAACGTGCGCCAGACTTGCTTATTAAAATGCCGTCAGATAAATTTAACAGCAATTTATTCGTTGTCATAATTAAATGAATGTATACATATTATCGCTAGCGACTTGCCTACTGATGGCATTAGGCTTCGCTCAGTACATCCTAGTTGATAAACCTTCATGTTTTTCCAGTTTATCTATAGGTATATTAATATTTCATCCAAATCTGTCTAGCCGTTTCTGCGTCAAAGACTATGAAACATACAAACACACGCAACACACGCATAAAAACTTTCCCATATATAATAAAAGCCCGATCTTATAAGGATCTATGTTACATTATCAAAAACAATGACAATTTATAGAAAAAAGTACACTTTATATAAAAATTAACAAGGGAATTTTAAAATAAATAAATCAAATACAATTCAACCCCATGTCTATAACTATACCCAATACCTTTCCCAGAAGTTAAATTGTTTTAATATAGCATATAAGCATTTTGTAATTACTGTTTTGGTTTGGCAATATAAGTGTGGAATATCTAACTATAGACGATCTCCGCTGTAGATCGTAAACTTACGTCGTAAACGAAAGAAGTTTTTTAACTATAAAACAGAGTAAGCCGCAGAATACTAATTTGTCTGGATACTACTATAAGGCACGTGTTTATTGTTGTTATTAGTCTTATTAAATGTTTTTAACTATCTAAACAGATTCCTTTAAATAATATATTGATTATAAGAACAGTAGTGTGTATGTGTATATTGTATAAGCCTCCCCGGTACCTATGTATTGTACGACCTGCTATTATTAAGGAGTATTAAAACGAACCTTGGAGCCAAATAGTTATCTCATTTTGTTCTCACATTACAGAGACATGAGAATAAAAATGTTATGAAAAGAAATTGAGTGGCAGATGTTATAATGGCATGTTTTTAGAAAACACAGGTACTTCGTATCGGTGTATCTTTTCTTGTACATATGTCATGCAATATCGCTGCCAATTGCTAACCGATTTTAATGATTTTTTTTACTGAATAGGTGATGGTTCAAGTATTATATAAATTTTAACGAAACATTCCTTCTTTAAGATTAGATTAATAAATTAATTGAATAAATAACAATAATTGATTAATCTAAATATATTGCAATTTCTCTTACAAAATATATTGAGGTTAAAGCAATTTTGCCAGTGGAGTAAATGTAACAACTGACAACACTTTAAAATGTTTTTATTTCTTTAAGAACTTTTTCCTAGATTTAAAAAAAATATATCTAAAATTTATATTAATCCATCGAAAACATATACATACATTAACTAAGGGCTTACAAACCTTATATTGTCTGTATAAACTTATTAGACAATCTGAATCTTACTTAAAATAAAAATTTGAAGCATTTCGTTACATATTTATTACCTATCGTAAAAATAACATAACTCAGATATTCAAAAGTTAACTCATAAAGCCTTAGCGGTGAATACGCAGATGCAAGAAGAATAGCTAAAGTGAAAAGTTTGACGTTACTCTGACAGTTCTGAAACACTTTTCACATTGAGGGAGTGAATAAAGAAAGCGTCAGAACTTTTGAAAGATATGACATCAGATTCTAATCTAAACATATAATAAAACTGCATTGTAAGAGTATACTAATATGTAAAACCTAAGAATTTGCTTTTTGATCATCTGAACGCGGGTGGAGCCGCGGGCAATACTAGTTCAAATAATATATTTAAACAAAAAAATTAAACAGCTATAATTTCCATAAGACCTAACTATACGACTTATAGTTTCGAATTATCGTTAAAAGTATCAATTATGTAATTGCTGATTC